CCCCATGGGCGAGGGGACAATGAACATTTAGGGCTTTTATTGTAAACTCTATAACTTTGCAAAGAAAGGTCGTGTAGAGCTGGGAGATGCCTCGTTTTAACCAGAAATTTATGGACTACAATTGCGCCTCATTAAGAAAGCTTTTGGTTATTCTTTAGAGTTTCTCGAAAACCGATCTTTGAAGGCCTAGCAGCAGCATTCATGGTAATATTCGGAATCAGCATCGTCGACTACCTATAGTCCACTCGGTTTCGTTGAAAAAGCGATTTATCAGTTGGGGTACTTCCCTCGTTAAACCTGATGCATCAGTTGTCAAAAGTAAATCGTTCTTTACAGCTCTTCCTTTCTTTCTTTTTTTACGTAAACATGTGAGCACTATATTCTCGATGCTTCTTCGACACTGAGGATTGACAAGTACTAATTAAAGTTAATGAACTTTTGGATTCAGGTATCAATCAATGATTGAGACTCAGATCTATCTAACTCTACAATATCGACCAAATTCATTCATTGCGAAATGATCACCAAAAAATAAGACTTTTGATCACCAAATCAATTAAAGAAAATTTAAATTAAGGAAAATATATACAAGAAGAAGAGTAAATACACTTTTGATCACCAAACGTATTTAGATACAAATGATCATCAAAAAAAGATACTTTTGGACCAAAAATATTTTTACAGTTTTATTTATATTTATTTAAAAAATTTAAAGATGCACTAATTTTCTTGAGACGCCCTTTTGCTTTTCGTTTGCCTAATGGATGAATACGTGTTTTATCACTAACTTAATACAAGTTAAATAAAACTGCTAATTCAACAGAAAGTTTACACGAATATACTAATAATAGTACAACAAACCAACAGGATTGTTACCACACCAGAAAACCATTGAATATAAGTCACCGACGAGAACGATAAATACCTAGCCAATGAGACATTCAATAGTTTTCTGATGTGGCAACAATCCTGTTGGTTTGTTGTACTATTATTAGTATATTCGTGTAAACTTCTGTTGGATTAGCAATTTTATTTAACTTGTATCAAGTTAGCAATAAAACACGTATTCATCCATTAGGCAAACGAAAAGCAAACGGGCATCTCAAGAAAGTTAGCACGGCTTTAAATTTTTTAAATAGATATAAATAAAACTGTACAAATATTGTTCATTTGGTTAAAGTCTCAACGAATATGTTTGTGTTGTACATTATACTTTGTTGAGAAATAAAAATGTGAGATACATGCTGAAAAATTTGGTGATCATTTTGTATCTAAAGATATTATTGCAAATTCATTAGTGGATAGACAAGAAAAAGAATATAAAGAAAATATATACAAGAAGAAGTATGAACTGAAATATGTCAACAGTTGACGGTTTTTGAAATTTTATTGGTTTTGTCAACTCACAAGAGCTATAAATAAATAAATGCCCTAAACTACAGACGATACCATCAAAAAGATATCGAAGCAAGAATGAAAAGTATTACACACAACTACATCATCCAATGAAGCGAAAGAATACGAAAAATTACAGTTTAATGTTTGCCAATATCGTCGATCAGATTTAAAAAATCATAAAAAAGAGCAATAAAATTTCGAAAAACTTAACCGTTCATAATAGAATTTCAGAAACCGTCAACTGTTAACATATTTCATATATCTTTCATATTTCTATTCATACTTCTTCTTGTATATATTTTCTTTATTGATGATCAAAATAACTGATACCCTTTCAAGCGTTTATCGTAATCAGTCGATGTGATGATTCTATAAAACACTTACTTATTGCTAACATTTTTTCTTCCTCTTCGTCCATGTCCAGTTGTTTAGTTAAGAAAAAATGTTTTTCAGCTAAAAATGCCAATAGTACAACAAGTGGAAACATTAAAAATGTAACAATCGCTTCCCATAAATCAACAACATCGGGCGATATAATACTTAGAACAAGGAATAACCAAATATAAGCAAAGAATCCAAAAAATGATGTCACCTAAAATATTGATTAGAGATAGATAAAGATATTTTTATATTTTATAAAATGATTACCATAAATACGCTATATAAGCGTATTCGACGTGTATCTGGACTAGGAATTGCCATTATACATATGGCAGATATGACAAGTAAATTGAAGGCTGCTGAACCAACAATAGTTCCTAAATGAAAAAAAAATGAAATTATGTGGTGAAATATATCGATGATGCGGACAATAAATAATAGCGTGAAATAGATAATACTACTTCAATCTTCAGAGGATTATTGCTAGAAATTTTTACCTGGACCTAATTCTCCACTTTCAAAACGATTTCCAATAATTTCTATTATTGATAGTAAAATTTCTGGTGAACTTGAACCTAATGCCATTAATGTTAAATTAGCCACTGTATCATTCCATGTTTTTATTTCAACATCTAAATATTCGTTCTGCCTAGACGGATCTGGATAGCGTATTTTTCTTGTACTTGACGTTATTGTTAATATTGAACTCATAAACATATCGGCAATAATGGCAATTCCAAGAAATAAATAGAATAAAAATATAAAATAGAATATAGCACGTAATGTTATTGGTATACATGCTTCAAATCCTAGAAGAAAACACATCAATATTTAGCAAATAGAAATGATCATCATCAATAAACATAAATATCAACATACCAAAGGGTAATATAAGTCCACGTTCAGAACATTTAAAATGTTGACAAGTCAAACAAATTGTTTTATTTGACATTATTTGTTTTTTTAATCGATATATATCGTAAAAGTTGTTGAAATCTATTGTATTCTATTTATATTAACTAGTAAAAGAGAGTAATTCATATTTCAAAGTTTGATTCTAGCACAATGAGTATGACATTTTACCTTACTTTACAAATGAAGTTTTAGTTGTCTCTTTGATATCACTATTAAAGTCATTTTTCTTTTAATTGAAATGTGACAGTTAAAATGTGGAACAGCAAAACGTAACTATTGATTGAAGCATACTTTTCTTAATAATTAGAAAAGTAATATTACTTAATATTCATGAACGGATGCATAACCAATGATACGTGACGGATACAAGAATATACTTTTTACTTCTCATTAATTTCTTTCTTTTCTAAAACAACTAATAATTTAAAATTCTTCAACCGACTTGTCCGATAGTGATACTAATCAGATGTAAAACTCTGGATCGGTTTACCACGTTGATCCGATGCTGGTCGAATACCGATTTATTAAAAAAGCTGTTCGGGTTTTGCCGGTTTATAAAAGAAGAGAATAAAATTATACAAGAGAATACAATATATGTTTAATAGAAGGAAAAGAAAAAGGAAGGAAAATGGATGTACTAATGTTAAACAAGGTCTGCTTGATCGTGAATAAAAAATAAAATTTTCTCTTTCTAACAAAACAAATAAAAAGTCCTATAATATACAGTGTGTGTAGGTGTAGTTATTTCCTCTTCGTGTTGTATAGTAGGCTTATTGTATCATTTATTATTCTATACAAATTTATAAAATTATTGATCCAGATTCTTCAAAGTCAAGGGAGATTCAAAGAAAATTAAAATTGAAAACATTTTCACTGGTAAAAAATATGATGAATTGTCAAAGAAGAATGCAGTAGTTTAAATCTCGATTGTGTAGAATCGTTAGTCATACTACCTGAAGCATTTGTAAATGAATGATGGTAAAAAATAAATGAATAATAAATCATTAGAAAGAGAATAAAAATTAGATTTTATTGTCTCTTTCTTACACTAAAAATTCTTGTTTCATTTTCTTTATAATAAAAATGTTAAAGACATTGCTTATGTATTTGATCACGGTTGCACATAGCCACATGACTTTTCCTAAGCCGAATGCACAGTGGGCATTTTTTGCTAGAGCAGGCGGACTTTAGCTTTATGAGTGAACTAAAATTTCATGAACCATTTTTTTATAGGTTTTTCATGATCCTCTTTCTAATGCCATGAGAGTTGGGTTTT